TAAACTCAAAAAAAAAAAAGTATTTTCACATTACGCAGTCCCTGTGGGCCTGAAAGTTAAAATGTTAGTTGCTTGAAGCTCATACAAAATACACTGTAACATGTGCTTATAGCTTCTTTTTCCCAACATTTTAGCTGTAATCTCTGCTGCCGGTCCTCCCTGTCCATTCCCAGAGTTATAGTAGACATTTAATTCATGGTAGACCTTGGGGAATGGTGTTTGCAGTAGGCCGCAAAGAAGAGAACTATTTTTAAATGAATGACCCTATCTAGACAAATGGAGTAAAATGGATGTTATAATTATGAAAGGTTATGTTTTAGGGCTTTTAGGAATTTGTGTTGTTATGAACGTCATTGTCATTCAAGGGCAGACTGCAGTGTATAATTCACTCCGAAGAGAAGGTGAGTGGCTGCAGTCAGCCGTCCCTCCAGGACCTATACGCCTCCAGGACTGTGAGGCGAGTAGAAAAGATTGTACCTGACCCCTTCCACCCCGAACACAAACTGTCACTCCCCTCCGGCAGGAGGCTGCGGTCCATCAGGACCAAAACCTCACACCATATGAACAATTTCTTTCCGTCTGCAGCGAGCCTCATCAACAAGGCCCAGGACCCCCACTGACACCTCTCATATGACTCTATCCCCCTTAACCACCCCCCTTTACGGTGCAGTAAACTCATACAGTGCATTTTTGCACATCCCTGCACAAATTGTAAACAGCAGTGTTGACCAAATTCTTTATTATTCTTTTATCTTTGTAATATCTTATTCTCAATTTTATTTAATTTTTATGATTCTTTACCTGCAGTACTTGATTTATATTTATTATTTTCTACCTACTAGAATATGCCATGGGTGTGTAAACCTAATTGGCAATAAAGTTGTTTCTGATTTCCGAATGAGGTTTTCCTACACTAGGAACAGCCATAAATAAATGGAGTCCTCTTTCTCCTTCTTTCTTCATCCATCCAATCAGTCATCTGTCAAATTTACAGTCAGTTGTTCTGTTGGTTCGTCCAGCTCTGTGTTGGCACTCAGTTATTGGGATCGATCGGAACACTTTAGCTCCTGTACAGAGGGCCTAAAACACCAATACCTCACATAGTCAATCAATACACATCAGCATTCTAACACATGGATACATACAGCATTTACACATGCAGAGTACTGCATCACACAAATCACTGTACAATACAGTACATCCGTTATATGTCAAGCAGCGGTCCAGTTTAGCTCTTTCCACAAACACTGCCCATGTATGTTCGACCTGTCGTTATCTGCTACAAGCCAAGGTCAATTTATTTATCCACAACAACTGAAAAATACCCTACTGTACAGTCTTTGTTAACCGAACCATAGATAATACAGTATAATATTAAAGGGAAAGGGAAATCAAAGTAAAAGATCCATACTCTATAAGAGGTGAATATTCACGGTTATTCATGCGTGTGCTTATCGTGATCTGGCTTATTCGTATGCACCTCAGGTATAAGGCAACACAAAGCCAACTTTTACAAATGTTTGATCCAAGAAAAGAAACAGAAAACAATTCTTCCTTATGTAGCCCTCATTGCTGAGTCGTTGCTGTGAATATAACATACTGCCAAAATAAGAATAATGACAAAATACATACAGGAATACTGAATGGTAATGATACATTGACGGATAGTCGTAGGGCCCAAACACAAATTACTGAGCAGATAAGGCATATTAAAAACAATATTTGAAAATTTACATAAAATAAGCATATTAAGGCAATGAGCTGTGATCCAGTGTACAGGCTAGGTGTGGTCTTACGTAGAGTTATGGGCTATTTCGTGGCCATGAGCTGCAACTTTAGAAAGTCTCAACAACGTGACTTGACACTTTTAGGAAAGAAAGTGAATAAGCATGTTTCTCAAAAACTATTCTATTCTACTAACTAAACAATAAATCAATATGTCAGTTTTTAATTATACTGAACAAAATTATAAAGGCAACACTTTTGTTTTTGCCCCCATTCATCATGAGCTGAACTCAAAGATCAAAGACTTTCTCTATGAACACAAAAGGCCTATTTCTCTCAAATATTGTTCACACATCTTTCAAAATCTGTGTTAGTGAGCACTTCTCCTTTGCCGAGAGAATCCACCCACCTCACAGGTGTAGCATATCAAGATGCTGATCAGACAGCATGGGTATTGCACAGGTGTGCCTTAGGCTGGCCACAATAAAAGGCCACTCCAAAATGTGAGGATCTGTGGGGGGTTCAGAAACTAGTCAGTATCTGGTGTGACCACCATTTGCCTCATGCAGTGCAACACATCTCCTTCACACAGAGCTGATCAGGTTGTTGATTGCGGCCTGTGGAGCGTTGGTCCACTCCTCTTCAACAGCTGTGCGAAGTTGCAGTCAGGTCAAGACCCCGATGAGGACGTCGAGCATGCAGATAAGCTTCCCTGAGACAGTTCCTGACCTGAAATTCTTTGGTTATGCAAACCGATTGTTGCAGCAGCTGTCCGGGTGGCTGGTCTCTTGAACATGAATATGCTGGATGTGAAGGTCCTGGGCTGGAGTGGTTAGACATGGTCTGCGGTTGTGAGACTGGTTGGATGTACTGCCAAATTCTCTGAAACACCTTTGGAGACGGCTCATGGTAGAGAAATGGAAATTCAATTCCCGGGCAACAGCTGTGGTAGACATTCCTGCAGTCAGCATGCCAATTACACGCTCCCTCAAAACTTGCAACATCTGTGGCATTGTACTGTGTGATGGAACTGCACATTTTCGAGTGGCCTTTTATTGTGGCCAGCTTAAGGCACACCTGTGCAATAAATGTCTGATCAGCATCTTGATATGATTGAGATTTTGCCAACGATGAGTCCTAATCAGATTTTGGTTTGAAAACTATGGCTTCAATTCCTCTTTTCAGTCTCTGGATAAATAGTTCAAGATCTAAAAGGATAAAGTTACAAATGGAGTCCCAGAACAGACAGCAGATTCAGACAGAAATACATTGACTTGATGCATACGGCGTTCAGTGTCAGGTCTGTGCTCTCCCCCTGAGTTTCCTTAGTCATAAACCCAGCAGGCACAGGCACAGATGTTGTCTTGTTTGCAGCTTGTTTGTGATGGTAAAGCGCCTGTGGTGAGTTGTCAATACATCTGGTCCTCTGCAAACACGGCACTTTGTCTGAACCCTGGCTAATATAAGAAGATGCCTGTCGCTGGGGTCGGTGTGGCGCAGAAGTGGCGTCCAACTCTCACTAACAACTACATTCTGTAACTGGCTTATGCGCACACACACACACACACACACCACATACACACACACACAAACAACTTTAGGTTGTTCCTGGTTGTCACAAGTAGAATTATTCTTGATGCTTTTCTTTAAGTCACTTATTTAAATTCCAGCTCTCATGGCTGTGCTGTTTTTTATTTATTTTTCTTGACTGTTTCTCGTTTTCTTTTCTCCCTCAGTTGTTTTCTTATGTCAGATGTTTAATGCTGCTCTAGATAGGTTTAAAAAAATAAACAAAATACAAGATAAGGAGTGGTATTATCCCCTGCTTCCGCTTCTTTTCCATAGCGTCTATCAGGCTAGCTGGCCAACAACTGGCTGCTGGACTGTGTCTGAATTTAAATCACTGATGTCCTGCAGTGGCCATACATCTCTCCAAATTGGCTATATGCTCAGATGGATATTGAAAGAGGTGCTGCTCACCTGGCAGCACAACAGGGACGTCCACTCTGTGTTCAATGAGTAAAATGGTGAAATGTTTTTTAATGTGATAGATGTTTATACATGTGGCATCCAGGTGTCCGCTCAGATGTTCACCAAGCAATAAGACACACAGATGCATGCACTTTCATCCTATTTGTCTGGTACTGGTTACATAATGATTCAGCAAGCCTTTCTTTCTTCTGTAAAACAATTGATCTGAATGTAATATAATGTTGGAACCAGGGGCACACTGAGCTGCTTAGCAGCTTACTACTTTCTAGGGTACTTTTTCAAAGTACATATTGTCAGAGAATTATAGATGTAAAAGACATAAACACTTCCATCATGTTTACAAAGCCAGCATAGCTAAAGCAATATTTTAGCAGAGAAGCAGCAGCTTCAGTGTCGTGTCTACACAGGATGCGTTCAGGCACATCGAGTGTAGGTTACCCACATTTTGGCAGTGCCAGAGTTCAACACATGGATTTGAAGTGTAAACATGCACTTCGGATCGCAGCCTTTACGCAGCCTGAGTAAACAGCTGGGTTGATTAAAACAGAACCGTATCTGCTCTGTCAGACACGGCTGCAAATTTCCCCCTGTGTAGGCGGCCGTTATACTTACATATCCACAAGTCCTAAGCTATCCTTTCAGCTTTCAGTTGAGGATAAATTAGCATATTGGTAAAGAGGGTGAAGTCTAATGGGAACAGATATTTCAGATTAAATGAAAAAAATAAGATTTGGCTTCTTCCTTATTGAATAAGTTTCAGCAGAAAGACAAAGAATAAAATAGGTGTCTCACCATAATGGTACATGGTGTATTAGACATTCATTTAGGGGGACTAACATCTTAAATTTGAACAAAATGCTGTGTGGGACCAGGATTATTGATTAATTAGAAGGGAATAAGTGATGTCCTTATAAACACGTAATCCTGTTTTTCTCTCTTGAGTATTCGTCTACTTCACACACCTTTTTTGGTTGGTTAGCAAGAAAATCTCCACATTCGGATAGAAAACATACACTATACAGCCAAAGGACAGGTGCTTTGTTTGTGGCTGGATAAGTCTACTGTACAAGAGTTTTTATGGTGGAATTGTTGAGTCTAAACCTGCTGTATATGAAAAGTGCAATGACATAACTTTTATTTTGAATTAGCCCTAAATAAATTGAATTGAACTGAGATAGAAATGAATAGGAAAATAAAGGCTGATAAAGGACATTTGATGAAACTTTATTTCACCTGGTTTAATAATCTAAAGAAACCATTCTGGTATTGTTTTTGTCTTGTAGAGACTCAGAGTGTGGAGGAGTGCGGAGAGAGGCTGAAGAGGATCCTGGACTCTCCCAGCATCGCTCAGGCCAACCACCAGCTCCTGGTCCACCTCAGCAGACATCTGGCCCGGGTCAGCCAACACAGCCAGGCCGGTCCCCGACTGCTTGGACAGGCCTTTGCAGAGGCTGTCTTCAAGCACTCTCCTCTGAGGTACACAGGTGTCACCCTTCATTCAGTCCCTCAGTCATTTACACTTTACCTGATTGCATTTCTTCATGCACATATTTAGCCATATACCACAGCCACGTAAGATACACATTTCTCAGTTGGCTGGAAGGTGGCCGTTTAAAGCCTCTGCCGGTACAGCTAAAACATAGTTCAACACTTTAGCCTTCATTCTTAATCAACGCTCAAGGTGTATCAAGCTGCAGGTAACCGTAGCAGCAGTACTGAAGGTTCAGCTAGTCAACTGCCCCAAACTAACCATGGGTTACACTGACTACCACAACACATTGAACTGAGGATTTAAATTAAACAGTCTTGTTTTTGTGTGGCCATGGTATAAGAGACATAACACATTTCCAGATGTTCATATAAAGAAAGCAAGGCAATCCACTTGGAAGCACCACTTCACCGTATGGTATTTAGGGTTATATGTATGGTTTTTAATCACAGCATCAGTCTGAGCGACAGGGTAACTCATCTTCATCATAGAAACACAGGAGTCTCTGAGATAATGTATTGTTAAAACAGGTTTATGTTAGAGTTGGGCCATCGTCCATCGGCGATGGCTGAATAATGATCGATGGTTGAGCAGGCATTGTGACTGTAAAACTGCCCCCAGCAAGAACAATCAGAAATTTTCAAATAATAGTTACCTCCATGTGAAAGCAGGTTTTAATCACCACGAACATTATTAGTATTGTAAATTATAAATTTGCTTCGCATCTTCCTCGGAATTCTCTTTTCCCCACACTCCGACACATAGGAGGCCTACATCTCAGGTAAACACACCGGCTTGTCCCGCCCGTCTACTTTCTCCATCAGCAGTACGTTTTATAAAGCCGCCTAAAAGACACAGAACTCGTCTTTTTTTCCGTATTCCGTAGCCTATGACGTGTAATATCATAGGCTACCAAGTTTTTAACCAAGGGAAGTCTGTGCGAGAGAACACGTGCACATAAGACGACCGCTATCCCCGCGTGCGCGCCCCCCTGATGCCATCGTCCATCCCGATGTAGTGTAAACATCATCTGATGAAAATTTTGTAGACATCGCTCAACTCTAGTTTACGTAATGGCTGCCGGTTTAAATTGTTTGCAGTTTGGTGTGGCAAATTTGAAGCTGCTGAATATTTATTTAGGTAACAATAAAGTGTAATCTTTAGCGTGGGCTTGCTGTTAGCTACATAAAAACAGCATTTTAACCTCTGTAATTGAGATTGGGAAAATCAAGTTTTTTATCATTGTCTTTTTATCAAAGAACCAGGTTACACTGTTCACTTCGTTTTTTGTACTGACGATTCAATCAGGAGCGTTTCCTGTCCATCTGAGTCTTAAAGTGCTCCAACTGTTCATGAAATGAACGTGACTTTTATTTCCAGAGCCCTGGATGCTCTAAATAACCTTTCCGATATTGCTAATTGATAGATACTGGTGGGCAGCTTTAAGTTGGAGAAGCAGTGATACCATTAGAGAGGTGTAGTACAGCATAACTGTATCAGGAAATTTAAAATATTTTTATGCTAAGATAGGATTTTAAGAGACAAAGCTAATTCAAAATAAGATAAGATGTCTGGTGGTTTATCATGTTTGCATATTTCAATATGTGCATGTTTCGTGATCCTTAAAGAAATATGTAAAATTTTAGTTTTAATCAAAACATGGAAACCACAAATGATAAAAAAAAAAAAAGAGAGCCGTTAGAGGTACAGCTGTGGACTGTTATTTATGCTCTTTAGTATTTCAACTATTTCTTTCCATTTGTTGCATAAAAAAGTCCCACATCGTTTGGGCAAAAGGGTCTTTCCATTTTTTCCTACACTTTCTACAACCAAATAACTAAACAAACAGTTTGGCTGAATATAGGACATTAAAAGTGGCACTTTTTTTAACTCCATCCACAAAACAACCATCGCTCATTTCCATGACCAAACTGAAATAAATGAACGAGATTGGCTTGATCCAGCACAAAGACCTGGTTTCTGTAGTAAAAGCTCTGCCCTTGCTTACAGGAAAACTAAATCTGATATTTGGCTCAGCTTTAATATCAACATCCTGCAGTTTAAGAGCTGGATGTCTGAACACTGAGAAAATGTCATTAACTAGGCTGATGGTATTTTTTTGTTTCTCTGTAGCCTGCACAAGCTCGCCTGCGTCTGTTTTTCCAGAAATTACTGAGGAATTTCTCCTTGTGTGCGGTGGAGATGTAGTGGATTTGGGGAGGTACTCAGTGAGTCAGAAGCAATGATTGTTTGCATAGCCTGGTCAAGCAATTCACCTCTGACGTGCACAACGGGCGGATAAAGAGCAAGGCGGCATCATAGCATGCCATGCCATCTCAACCAGATCCCATGTTAGCTTATTTTGTGTGTGGAAATGTTTATTAGTCCTAAATGGTTCTGGAATACACTTCAGTCAAATATTTAGGCACATATTCACACATATTCTGCTGTTTGGGCTTTTGATTGTCAATACGTTTCATGAAAAGACCAACACTGAACAAAGAATTATTGATCTAACAACGATTGTGTGTGTAGCCAAAACCTGTGTAGTTCAGTGGTGTCCTTTACAATTTCACCACAACTTCTGTTTACGTTTATGTTTCTGTCAACAGTGCGGATGTGAACCCAGAGCATCATGTCAGGATCTTGGAGGCTCTAATCGCAACAGGAGGTCTCATGGAGATGCAGGCTGCACCAGGTCGGATAATAAACATGTACACACAAACTTTCTCCCTTTTCCATCGATATACATCATATGCACACACTCTTTTATTCTTCCTCTTAGCAAACGTAATATTTATTTGTTGGTGTATAGCAGCATACATATGATCTTGATTGGGTCACACCAAAGGTTATCTGTTCTGTCTCTCAACACTAATACATTCAGTTTATTTTCAAAATGTTCTGCTCATTGACAAAGTGTTTGAAGTTTGTTTCTTATGCGTATCACCATACATTTCTCACACTGGAAACATGACATTCTCTTTCCCTTCCCCACTGTACCACAAACTGCAGCGGAAAACACACGTTTGGTTTATGAAAAATGTGGAAAACACAAACTTTTTTGCCCAAGCTGCTGTGATAAATTGGGCATGAAGCATGAAATAACAGCTTTAACTTTGCTGTCCTTTAGTTTCAGTTGCACTGTGAATGTACAGAGTTTATGGTAACAAAACACTGCGGTTTCATGATGTTTTTCTTCTTGGATTTCAGCTTTGCTGAGAGCAGGGAGGGTATGAACTGAGTGTGGCACGTCTGGTATATGAACTGTACGGTGTACAGATAATTCTCAGACCTCGGCATGATTTCTCTGAGTGTCTAGAAAAACAACATCCTTTCTTAGACTTAAGGGTTTTGGGCCAGAGGAGAAACATTGTCAAATATGATATGTGTAATTGCACTTCAGCCATAACATATCTGATAAAAGTTATGCTCCAGAGAAGCTGTATTTAACTAAGTTAAAAATGCTACCGATAAGTAGCGTTCTAAAGTCACATGACGCTTGTCATGCTCATCACAGTATGGCATCGAACCGCAGACTGTATTAAAGATGTGGACGTAGCCATCGTGATGTCACCCATTGGTTTACAGACTACCGTTTGAAGCTTGAGTTTCGCATTTTGGGAGTTTTGGGATCCAAGTTACCCTCAACTTCAGCTATTACAGTGTTAGGAAATTTTCCTGATACTCCTAGTCAACTCCAACAGCAACCTTGGTGTGATACTAGTGCATTTCTTTGCTGATATCATTCATCTGAACCAGTTTTTTTTATGTGATGCTGTTTTGACAAATGCTGTTAAGTCTTGGACCACCTTGCCTAATGTCCAGTTGTATGAAACATTGGACTTGACCACTTTATTCCATTTAGTATGAGTCTGAGAACTGATGCTGAGGTCTAAGGAATGTCCTAAAATGTTCACCTCAGTCTTGTTTATTGAGCACAGACATATAGAGACTGCTGTAGCTTGTTTTTGTTTGTTTTTTTAGCAAGACTAAAGATGAAGCTTTAAACTGCATGTGAGTCTTTAATGTATGTGCAGAAATCAAATGCTCTGAAGAGATCACTCAGGCTCTGTGAGGATGAATGATTGCAAGGGCCAAGCCAGTCCGTTAAGGGTTATTGTATGTGGGTCAGTGCGTGTATGTGTGTGTGTATAATTGTCAGTAGGACTGTGTGTGTGTGTGTGTGTGTGTGTGTGTGTGTGTGTGTGTGTGTGTTTATAAGGTTGTACTGCTCTGTTGAAGGCCATGGTGTTATGGTCTATATTGACATATTGTTGCAGCAGTGTTTATAGTTACTGCTCAGGGGTTATGTTTCTTTGATATGGAGCAGCGGTAAATTCAGATGTGATGTTGGCAAGGTGCTGGACTAATAATTAGATGAGAGTCATATTTATGGTTCAAATATGACCAGTCAAGGACATAACCAGGACAATATCAGCTTTGTCCAACACCAGGTAGATCACCCTAAACACAAACATCTTCATTAGATGATTATTATTAATTTCCCACCCCTGGACTGGTTGATTTTATTTATCTTAGAGACAGAAGCTTTTCAGTTTAATGGCATTTTCTTATCTGCCTTAGCTAGAATCTCTTGTGGCATTCTACAAGGTACCATCTTAGGTCCTCTTCTTTTCTTTCCATTCATGCTACTTCTTGGTCAGAGAAGTTGTCAAAATCAGAAGTAATATTTCCCTTTGTTTTGCTATGCACTCATCTTAACCTCCCTCCAAAATTAGGCGTACCTCAAATAAACCTACTGACTTTAGATAAGACAAGACAAGAATTTTTTTTTTTAATGTTGATGGCTAAAAACATTCGAGATCAATGTGATGCAGATTTTTTGACAGATTTTGTCTGTTTGGCCTCCCTACTTTCATTATCACTGTTCACGACCTAGTTCAAAGTTCAGTTCACACAGATAAAAATGAAGTAGTTCACGATCATAGTTCACGATTTCGAATTTTGAACAAAAAATTAGATCCCGTTCATTCCTTCAGTTTTTTTTTTTTTTTTTTCAAAATGCTGTTAGTTTGGAAATATGTAGTTGGTCTTACCCTTTGTTAATAATTTTTTGTGATGATCATTAACTTACACCTATTTATCCAACTCAATGTGTCGTTTCAGATTGGTTGGTGTTCTGACTTGTTTTTTCAGACCTGGTAACGGTAGCTGCGTCTGAAAACTCTGTAGTTTGATCCAGTTTGCCTTCTTTAAGGAAAATATCCAGTATCATAATCTAATCTTGTTCCTAAAATATATTTCTACTCAAGCTGAGAATACATGGGAACAGACTGACCCGGTACGGGTGGCATAATCGATTTTCGCAGTTGTAGCTGTTTTCCCTCTAAAAACAGCGGCGCTTTGTGTCAACAAAGACCGTCTGGCGGGCCGCCATCTTGTTTAGATCGGCTGCGGTCTTAAGTTTCATTTGTGTCATCAGATTGAAGTGGAGAAGAAGAGTCTGATTTGGCAGAGACTATCTTTATCGGCCTCTGCTGGCGACCCGTAGGAGCTACACAGACATGCAGGATATGTCTGAATTCGTCTCGTTGAGACGAACAAAATAAGACCACCCACAGGTATGATGTTCTGTTCTCAAGCTGTGGGCCTGTTAAGCATGGGAGTGCTTTTGGTCATATATATTGACTGTTTGTATCAATATTTCAATGTTTTGGAAGCTTTATGTTCTTTGGAATGTGGTTTTATGGAGAGAAATAATGTTTTGAAGATAACTACCAATAAAAGTGAACATTTAAACTCTAAATATGGCCAAAACATGGACATTCACCTGGTATATTTTTGAAAGATTGTGTAATAACTGTTGTATATCAGTTTCTTTTCATCAAATTTACAGTTACAGTTGTATTCTAGGTGTATTAGAAGATATTCAGGTGCATTATAATCTACTATATGATAGTTTTGATGGTTTATTGCATTAAAATAAAGCTTTTTTTACCAGGCGAGGATGAAAATATCATATTTTCTGTATTGCATCTCCATGTAGTCTGTAATGTTAAAATAAATATGTTAATATACAATGGATTTATATTCCTTAGCTTCTGACCTTTCAAAGGCGACCAGAATTATGCATCTAGGACTAATGCTTGAGGAGATATTACTGATTTATTTTGGGTTATTTTAGGCGTTTTTTCCTAGAAATAGTTGCCAGTGTCCAAGCATTCACAAAATTACCACTTCACAGAAATCAAAAGAGGCTGAACCATCAATTGAGACCTTATCTTGTGAAAAATGCTGACTTTAAAGAAACAGTTCTGACATTTTAAATCTATATGCTATAGACAGAAATAGTTTTGGAGCCAGCGACTACTGACCCTTAGTTGACCTGTATCTTAAGATACTTTTGCATTGACTTCAGCTTTAAGGTATGGTGGAAGATCAATAAAGTATTTCTGAAATACTCACTGCAAAGCAGTACAGCAGACAATCACAGACAGAGTTCATAGAGCTACAAATCAGACTCCACCATAGGTGGGACTCTTGTGTCATTTGTTCGATTTTCATTTTTTGTGGGTGACACACAAAAGGACAGAATGATTTCTGAAGGACGATCAATAATTCCTGGAATAAACCTCTGCCCTGCTGGGTGGGGAGATTGAATGGATTCGTCAGGGGTTGGGGCTAGACGCTGGAGAGAGGTGATGTTTCCTGATTCTGAATATCTTTTAAATGCAAATGTTAAAATGTAGCCTGATGGGAAGCAAACACATTCGACATGCTCAGATTAATTTAAAAATTCTAAACACAGTCGACATTTTACAGAGCTCCTCCTCAGGGTGTCCCAGTTTTGCCTCTGCGGCCTCATTTGATGCTTTCATCATGTTAGAAATTGTCTCTAAATATATGTATTTGGCTGTATTTTTTCTTCATTTGCGATGGCTGACAGTATTTTGGTAGTGAATAAATAACAGGGGGAAAGAAAAATAAATCAAACGTCCTTTTTCGTTCGTGTTTGCGTAACACTTTTCAGACCTAACTCCAGCGCCAGTTCATGAGGACGCAGAAATTGCAGAGCTGCCAAAGACGTCTTTCGAGGGGTGGAAGAATGGTATTAGTTTGGCAAAAGGACAGCGATACCCTCTAGTGCTCCTGTGGCGAGGCTCTTTCGCGAGGAGGAACAGGTTGTCTGACAAACGATTTGAGAGACTCCTGCCCAGGGTGCAAACTACAGGGGAACCAGAGGGAGCTTAGCTCCCCTTAATAAGACATCAGCTCCCCTAAAAGCATGATTTGTGATATTTTGGGGGGTCTCTAAAATATTGACAGTATGCTTTATTGCCATTAATCTATATTTCTCTATTATCATGGATCATGTGGAGCGTCAGACTTCATCCAGCCAGAGGGAACGACCATTGACCATCTCCTGGCCCTGTAAGCTCCACCGCCCCACTAACTCTCCGGTACGGGTTGTGTCGCTAGTACGACCGACACGCTGTGAACGGTTCGTGATTGTTCCCTCTGGCTGGATGAATATTATGCATGATCCCTGCACTACAGCAGCTGGGGGCTGTCCTCAGCACCACGCAACTTTCTAAATTCTTCGCTCTCACTGTTCTTCCTTTTGAAATCTCAGCATCATCTGATATTTTGATGAGGGCCAGAGTCTAATTTTTTTGTGATATTTTCTGCAAATTAATATTTGCACTGTTTGGAAGGACAACCTATTTTAAGTTG